ACAATACAAATACAATAGGGGAGCAATCCAAAGGCAATACAAAAACTCCACATTCCCACTATATATTCATAATCTACAACATATTACAAAAAGGACACGACGTCCTTAATGGAATCACATTTTACACTCCTACATCGTCAAAATACCCTCGAGCAAGGAATGGGCGGAGAGGCTTCTGTAAAAGTTGAGGATGTAAAAGATGTTCTTGACTTGAAGGTGGATTAGTTACTGGCCAAAGTCTTCTTAGGAATTATTTTCCTTTCGCAACTCTCCAAGAGCTAATCCAGCCTGAGGGAAAAAACAGAGTCAGAGATACATAATTTGTTACAATGAAATTGGTTGGATGAGAATCTCATATGTGCTTCTTCAAAGGTGCATGCTTGTGCTATCTACAAACTTATATAAATTTGATGAACAATTCTTGCAAACTGGGAAAAAAATTCCTACTCAGGCGAAAGTACAATTATGAGTACTTCCCAAAACTTATAAGTCCTAAGCACCATCCAGAAGGAAGAATATATAAATAGACAAAATATCTTCTTCTAACATGTAAACAGAAAATTAGAAATTATCAAGTACAAGATTTCTCAAGAAAAGTCATTAACATGAATATTCAAGAACCGTGATAGGACTAATATTGGTATAAAACCTACTTTACTTTACATAGTGCATCACAGATAAATTCTAGCAATATATACACTGCACAAAATAGTGACTTCTTCTATTAAACTAAAATCCTAGTTATCATTTTTACCTCCCAAAGGGATTTGAAGCTAGGATGAGTACTTCACTAATTTGTTGTTCCTATAAAACATCCAATACTTGCTTGGACAAGGTCAGCCAAAGAGTGTAAAGACTCAAAAACGATCATATACTTTTCTTGTTCAAGTAGGACATGCATTCTTTCAAGGGCCATATGAAAATTTAGTCAAACCTTCTTTCCCTTTTGAATTTCTCGTACGAAATTATAGGGTTCATAGAAATAGCCAAAATTAATTGCAAACAAGCAACCTAAAACAGAGCCCAAAATATCCAATCAGAAAAACGATCCAAATACACAAAACCAATGAAACCCATTTGAGTTCTTACACTTGAGTTTGTTGGTGACCTAAAAACAATTAGATATTGCCAAAGTTAAAAGAGATTATTCTATTTCTCCATCTCATATACTCAATCTTCAAGAGTTTCTCGTATTAAAGCATATAAAGAACTTCAAAGAAGTAAAATATTTAAGCAATATCTGAGTGATACACAAACCAACATCTACATGAATGTCAGCACCTTCTCTACGAAGACTGATACTCCTAACCTGCAAACAAATTTAATGCGTACATATATTAGACAAAAGCATTATACATTCTAAGGTATCAATAATGAGGAAAAAAAAAAAAGCAAGGACATCATCAGGATGAAGGACTTATGCAGGACCAAACTGATTTCCATCAGGATTAGCCCCACTAATTACAAAAACAAGCAGATATAGTAGTACCAACATTTGTAATCTGACCTATGTTGTAAATGATGATTCATGATTATTTTAATAAAACGAGCAAATTTATTACCATCATCAAAGTCAAAAGCTTTGGATTTAAAATTTACACTATCCCACCACAACAACTGCCAAGACCAAAAGGAAAGTAAAGAACTTAACTTATTAAATTGTATATGGCAATCCAAAATCCAAAGCACCACAACAAGCTTGAAAGGGATGAAAACTAAGTTTACCTACTTTTTGGTTTGCTGAAGTTTTAAGATTGACAATAAGGTCACACTTGTTCTGCTGACTCGCACTTCATCATCCTTGTTATCAAAAACCAGTGAAAAAACTAGAGTACCGAGTTATCAGAATAAAAATAAAAAGTAATAAAATCCTAACTAAATCTAAATGGAATTTTCCTTGGAAGGAGGCTTTATCAGCATCTAGTGTGAGAGATACAAAGGCAAACCAAACCAGAAACTGTCCTACTCAAGGTCTCAAAAATGAAAATCATATGGTTCATAGAAATAACTGAAATTAATGGCAAAATAAGAATCCATAACAGCACCCACAATATCCAATCAGAAAAACAACTTGAGATATATAAAAGAATGAAGTGTCAACTAAGGCCCATTTTCTTGTAGTGAAAGTAGAATATAGACATGCCTGTTAGAATTTGCCGTTAGTATATGTATTTTCAGATTAGGAAGAGAAGTATTTTCTGGAGATTTTAGCTAGAGAGCATGAAGAGAAAATGAGGAAGGCACTGTTCTATTAAATTCTTACAATCTGCAGCTTACATAGTGTGACTGACGTAGAGAGAAATGTGATTCTCTTCTAACAGAATTACAACTGTCACCCTATTAGGTGCTTACACGTGTCATACCAAATCTAAGCTAGAGAATCCACCTAGACTATGATCTAATGGTTCTCATTACATCATTTAAAATAGACAGAACAGAAAATAGAAAATGACTTCTGCCTAAGAAATCAGGCAGAACAT